GATAGGTAAACTTATGTATGACCAGGCTAAATCGTTGGTGACTCACTTTAAGTGATGTGGGTGAACGCTCTTCAAAGCTTTTTAGCTGTTCCTCAAGCCACTGTGCGGTTGGACTTCCCTTGGATTCAGCTACCAGGGCCGCTTTGATCATGTCGATGAGCTGCTCCATGGTCCCAGAAACACCTACACCACTCTCGCCATAGAATTTACCTATAAGCGGCATGAAGGGTTCCAGGGAGGGAAGTGCCAAGGCGGATTCGTCATGGTAACTGTCCATCACTTTCCGAATACCAGCATCCACATTGTCATTTGGGGAAAAGCGCAAGCCAGTGATCACATCGCGCACTTCGCTTATCTGTGGGGAAAGATACATATTTCGTTTGAAAATTTGGAAAAAATCATCATTCAACAAAAGGTTGCATGGAGACGACGAAGTGAATTTTAAATAGGTGCGCCCGTCACATATGCCTCGTGGCAGTTATCTGCTACAAATCCCCGCAACCCTCAACTTCTCCTGCAGACAGTCCGGCTAATGGCCTGAAAGGACACATCCAACTACGGATGGTGGAACCCCTAGTCCGGAGGAGAGGGGGGGAGGAAGCGAATATTCTTGTGAGTCCTGGAGTTATGAACCTCAGAACAAGCGAATCATTTTACGAAACTTTGAAATATCTTCTTCTGTCATTGGAAGGAGAGACTGGTTTCGTAAACTGTAGCCTAATGCAAAGAATTAATCTGTAGAGGAGGTGATGAGTCTTTTCTGGCGTCCATGGCCACTGCTAAATCGACAACTGCCCACTTATAAGATTGGCCTTCTTTTACTTCGAGGTGATGCAGTGTAGCGCATCGACGCCTGGCTATTTAGGATCGACGGAAGTGGCCAGTAGCTCACTCGCGAGATAGCACACAAGGCCAGTTTCTATCGGACTTACCCTCTTTTAGGTTTACCTTAACAAAGAACCACATCCACTTAAAGCGAACTCGGCTTAATCTGGAGAATTGGAACCACTGAAAGAAGACCTATTTCTCGCCCTATTCTGAGCATCGCATCGATAACTAGACTGCTGAGGAGCAAGAGGACAGCAAACCAAAGGCAGGATTGTTGTGGGTGGTATGGGCGTGTTACTGTACCGTTGTGGATTGAGTTTGACCTTAGGGGCTGACTAACTGCCGGTTCGACCGTCACTAACAACTATGTCTACCGACGTGATAGGCACAGAACGGTGGCTTGTACTTGCAGTAGTCTAGTGATAGCTCACTTGCGCAGCATCTGCCGCAGTCTCTTCTCCCCTCACCCACCCGGACCTGGTGGCA